CGAATATTAACCCCTTGACTGTGGATGATGTGTATACACGTCATGAAAAAACTGGCCCAAACAGTGGATGACTTGTATACACGTCATGGCCCAAACACGAAAACATTTTAACGTATATTTGCAAAAATTCTTACTTGGGGGTTTTTGGAGTCGCTGATCACGATTCTGAAGTAAGATATTCAAAATAAATCATTTTTCATACAAAATGACCGCTAAAAATTTTGAAAAATTTTAAAAGTGGATAATTCTTTTAAAAATTCTTACTCGGGGGTTTTTGCGGTCGCTAATCACGATTCTTAAGTCATATTTTCAAAATACATAATTTTTCATATAAAATGGCCGCCAAAAATTTTGGAAAATTTCAAAAGTAGATAAATTCTTTGAAAAATTCTTACTTGGGGGTTTTTGGGGTCTCTAATCACGATTCTAAAGTCATATTTTTAAAATACATAATTTTTTTATCCAAATTGTCCGCCAAAATTTTTAAAAAATTTCAAAAGTAGATAAATTCTTTTAAAAATTCTTACCATTTAAACTTTGAAAGACTAATAACAGATTCGTAATCAGCGACCCCAAAAACCCCCGAATAACGAATTTTAAGCATATCCAATGAATTTTTCAAAATCGCGACCGCTATTTTGGATCCGCCATTTTGAATTTTAAAAAACTAATGTCAGATTCGTAATCAGCGACCACGAAAACCCCCGAGTAACAAATTTTAAGCGAATCCAATGAATTTTTCAAAATCGTGTCTGCCATTTTGGATCCGCCATTTTGAATTATAAAAAACTAATTTCAGATTCGTAATCAGCGGCCACGAAAACCCCCGAGTAACGAATTTTAAGCGAATCCAAAAAATTTTTCAATATCGTGTACGCCATTTTGGATCCGCCATTTTGAATTTTTAAAAACTAACACTGGAATCGTAATCAGCGACCCCAAAAACTCCTTAGTACCTAGTGTCATGAAAATTTATTTACAAGAAGGTCTTACACATTTTGGGACCATTTTGTTATATTTTAGCTACACACTGAAGGGGTTAACATTAAATGATTTCTAATATTACAATAATAGTAATTGACAGAGTGGGGCAGAATATTAAAAAACAACGATGTTGCAAATGCTATTGCATATACTCCATAAGAAAGACTGTATTCTGGTTGTTGATCAACAGTTGTGAAAACTACTGGTGGTTCAAAAGGATATAATCTAATTAAATAATCTCTTTGATCATGATTTAAACATTTTTTATTAATAGTATGAAAAATGTAAATGCTTATTCCATCATAATAAGTACAAATTCAATGACCAGATTTATAAGATCCACTAAAAAGTATTTGAATGTGCTGCTTACTTTTCTCGATTGGAACTATCAAATCAATTGTTTGTAAAAACAAAGTATTTTGCATATTATAAAAAAATTTGATTGTCTTCCCTATAGCTTTTGAAATTCATACATATGATCATTATTTACCATTGCTCCTTCAGTGACAACAATACTTAAATCATGAGTAGTCGAATTAACAGCTTCTCCTTTGTTAGACATTGTTCTTTTATTTTATAAAATTTACTTATATCAAGGAATTATAATTTTAAAAATAGTAATATTACATTAGAATTTTAACATCCAGTTTTATACATTTAATTATAAATTTTATAATTTCCTTTTATCCAATGTTACTAAATTTTTCCTCTTATAGGAAATAACAACAAATTTACAATTCTCTACTTATTCAAAACTTTCAAATTTTTACTTCTATCAAATATAATCAATGTCCAATTTTGTCTTTCATCCAATTTAAATAATTTCCAATTTTGTCTCTTATCCAAGGGTCAGAATTTCTCAAAAGGATCACCTAAAACTAAAAAATTTTCTTTTTGAACCAAAATAGTTTTTTTTACTCTTAATATCGTTAAGAAGAATCCCTTAAAATATTAAGCCAAAAAAAATTTTTTTGTAAAAGTTATTAACAATTGAATTTATTAGTACTGCCTAATTAACAAATTTTTTTCTCGAGCTCCAGTTGACGGATTTTGAAATTAAAATATGGGTTTTTTTTGTCTTGAATTGCACTATTTGAATATATTTTTTGTTTTTAAATTTTTTTTTAATAACTTTTTATTTAATTTGTTTATAAAATGTTAATAAACAAATATTTTCTTCACGTCCTAACAAAAAAATTAAAATTGTATTCTATTCCTTAAATGTCTCCGAGTGTAAAACCGTTTCGAAAAAAATGAGCCTTAATTAGAAAAAAAGTTATTAATTAAAAACTGCAGCTGTGTAGAGCTTTATATGACGATAAACTCGCCCCGCGCACATTGGCATTTTTTACAATTTACTGTTTAAAACTGTCTGGAACCTACAAATTTTATCGGATTTTCATGGACTTGGTCTTAAATTAAAGGGAATAAAATTTCTAAAAGATCCCTCTAAACCAATTATTGTTTATAATAATTGTCAATAACAATAATAATTTTTAAATTTAAAGTCATTTTTTACTAAAATCGACATAGATTACTAAAAAACATAAATTTGTCTGCAAAAAAAAATTTTTTTTATAAAAAAGAACCATAGTTATCTATTTGTTAATTAACATTATTTGCAACAGTTTAAATAAATTGTATTATAGATTATTATTTGTCTGGTGGTTAACAATGGTAATTATTAAATTTAAAATAATTTTATATCAAAATCGACATAAATTACTTAAATAAACATAAATTTGTCTGCAAGAAAAAAATTTATTACAAAAATATGTCTATTTGTTAATTAACATTGTTTGCAACAATTTAAATAAATGGTATTATACATTATTATTTGTCTGGTGGTCATGCTGGACTAATTTCAATTGATTCCAATCATCTGCAATGAAAAAATAAAAAAATAAACATGATTTTTTCTAAAAATATTGTAAATTGTTAACTTTAAATAACAAAAAACCATATAAACAATTAAAAATTCAAAAATTGGTTTAGAGGGATCTTTTAGAAATTTTATCGCCTTTAATTTAAGACCAAGTCCATAAAAATCCGATAAAATTTGTAGGTTCCAGACAATTTTAAACAGTAAATTGTAAAAAATGCCAATGTGCGCGGGGCGAGTTTATCGTCATATAAAGCTCTACACAGCTGCAGTTTTTAATTAATAACTTTTTTTCTAATTGAGACTCATTTTTTTCGAAACGGTTTTACACTCGGAGACATTTAAGGAATAGAATACAATTTTAATTTTTTTGTTAGGACGTGAAGAAAATATTTGTTTATTAACATTTTATAAACAAATTATATAAAAAATTATTAAAAATAAAAAAATTTGAAAACAAAAAATATATTCAAATAGTGCAATTCAAGACGAAAAAAACCCATATTTTAATTTTAAAATCCGTTCACTGAAACTCGAGAAAAAAATTTGTTAATTAAGCAGTACTAAAAAATTCAATTGTTAATAACTTTTACAAAAAAAATTTTTTTTGACTTAATATTTTCAGGGTTTCTTCTTAACAATATTAAGAGTAAAAAAACTATTTTGGTTCAAATAGAAAATTTTTTAGTTTTAGGTGATCCGTTTGAGAAATTTTGACCCCCAATATTTAACCAATTTACAATTTCTCCTTTTCTCCAAATTAACCAAATTAACCAATTTCCAGCTTTGTTTTTATCCGATATAACCAATTTCCAATTTTGCCTTTTATCCAATTTAACCAATTTCCAGCTTTTTTATCCAATATAATCAATTTTCAATTTTTCCTTTTATCCAATTTAACCAATTTCCAGTTTTGTTTTTATCCAATAGAACCAATTTCCAATTTTTCCTTTTATCCAATTTAACCAATTTTTAGCTTTTTTATCCAATTTAACCAATTTCCAATTTTTCCTTTTATCCAATTTAAACAATTTCCAGCTTTGTTTTTATCCAATATAATCAATTTCCAATTTTTCCTTTCATCCAATTTCCAATTTTTCCTTTTATCCAATTTAACCAATTTCCAGCTTTGTTTTTATCCAATATAACCAATTTCTAATTTTGTCTTTTATCTAATACAACCAATTTCCAATTTTGCCTTTTGTCCAATATAACCAACTTCCAGCTTTGTTTTTATCCAATTTAACCAATTTCCAATTTTTCCTTTTATCCAATTTAACCAATTTCCAGCTTTTGTATCCAATATAACCAATTTTCAATTTTTCCTTTTATCCAATTTAACCAATTTCCAGTTTTGTTTTTATCCAATAGAACCAATTTCCAATTTTGCCTTTTATCCAATTTAACCAATTTTTAGCTTTTTTATCCAATTTAACCAATTTCCAATTTTTCCTTTTATCCAATTTAAACAATTTCCAGCTTTGTTTTTATCCAATATAATCAATTTCCAATTTTTCCTTTCATCCAATTTCCAATTTTTCCTTTTATCCAATTTAACCAATTTCCAGCTTTGTTTTTATCCAATATAACCAATTTCTAATTTTGTCTTTTATCAAATACAACCAATTTCAAATTTTGCCTTTTGTCCAATATAACCAACTTCCAGCTTTGTTTTTATCCAATTTAACCAATTTCCAATTTTTCCTTTTATCCAATTTAACAAATTTCCAGCTTTGTTTTTATCCAATTGAACCAATTTTCAATTTTGCCTTTTATCCATTATAACCAATTTCTAATGTTGCCTTTTATCCAATATAACCAATTTCTAATTTTGCCTTTTATCCCATTTAACCAATTCCCAGCTTTGTTTTTACCCAATAGAACCAATTTCCAATTTTGCCTTTTATCCAATATAACTAATTTCTAATTTTGCCTTTTATCCAATTTAAATAATTTCCAGCTTTATTTTTATCCAATATAACCAATTTCCAATTTTTCCTTACATCTAATTTAACCAATTTCCAGCTTTGTTTTTATCCAATATAAATAATTTACAATTTTTCCTTTTATCCAATTTAACCAATTTCCAGCTTTGTTTTTATCTAATATAATGTTTCATACATAACATTTTCAGACAATAGAATTGCCTGAAGGGAACAATGATGATATTAGTAATTACATTCTTCGAGGAAAAGTACCCTATATGGTCCAATTACATGCTTGTATCCAAACGGATTCGACGGTTTTTCTAGTTTTGCAATATATCAGGTAATAATAAATTTTTATCAATTTTCAATAAGAATTGAATTCATATTATTTTTATCTTATTTAAGGGGTTACACCACCCTGAACGCTGATGAAAAAATATTCAAAAATGGCGAAGATATGGCGTTTTTTCGAAACTACATTTTTCGGAACGGTGTACATGATTTCTCAAAAACTACTCAACCGATTCTTTTTAAATTTTGTACACAACTGCTCAATAACATTCTCTATAACATGACGTAGCCGTTTTTAAAGAAAAAATTTTTTGAGCAAATGGGAGCACTTAAAAAAAGGTTCTAAAATTTTTGGTACAAAAAACTTTCTTTAAAAATGTATAACTTTTTTTAAAAAAATCATATTAAAAAAATCCTACGTCATGTCATAGAGAATGTTATTGAGCAGTTGCGTACAAAATTTAAAGAGAATCGGTTGAGTAGTTTTTGAGAAATCATGTACACCGTTCCGAAAAATGTAGTTTCGAAAAAACGCCATCCATATCTTCGCCATTTTTGAATATTTTTTCATTTTTCAAAATTTTTTTTACAATTAAATATATGTATTTTTATACTATAATTAGTAAAAAATTGTATTTTTAATAGTTTTGTCAAAATTTATTTTTGAAATATCTTCCAATTTTCAGGCGTTCAGGGTGGTGTAACCCCTTAAATAAAGTATTCTTTAATGTCTGTGGTGTTTCTCATATTTTGAAAAATGGAAAAAATAACAAGATTTTTTCAATTTTTCGTAAACAAGCCTCGTATTATACTTCAACAAAAGTATTTACATAAAATATTTTTTTCGGAACCAAAAAATATGTTTCTCTTTATTAGTCTGTAAAATAAATTAAAATTATATTAAACTTGATTTAAGGGATTATACCTATTCACGATTTTCAAAAAATCGATTTCTTTTTTTCAGTTTCTTAAAGTATATATATATATATATATATTTGACTGTTGTGAAAATTTTTTTATTAAGATTCGAGGAATATTTTTGAACTTACAGGCATAATTAGCAAGGCGGCGCAGTGCGGTGAAGAGCTGGTGAAGCGTCTGTAACGAGTTCCTATAGAAATCTGATTCAATATATAATCAAGAGGCATTAGAATATCGGAAAATTTTTGTACAAAACTGGCCTCTGAACTGTCCAATCTTGCGTTCAGTTTATATATTTTCGTCTTCAAACTTTTAACTCGTTTTTCTCAAAACTACGTTTTTTAAGTCGGTGTACACGATATCTTAAAAACCACTGAACCAATTTGGCTCATATTTTCAAACAAGCACAACAACTACATTTTGTTGTCCTTGATGGAAGGTTTCTTAAATAAAATTAAAATTATTAATTTAATCAACAATTTAAGACGATTTTTTTTCATGAAAATGAATTTTTTTTTAAAACGCTGACATTTTGTGAAAAAGTGATATTTTTTAATTCCTTCGATCAAAGACAACATTTTCTCATAAACTAACAGAATCTGTTTTATTTTTAGGGTTCCGTGCCCTGTATAGGAACCCTATTAAAACGGTTATTGAAAATGTCTATATACCCCCCCCTAGCGCTCACAGTTTTTCATCTAGAGAGTTAAAAATTGGTACACATATGTATTTTCACGTGTAGATTTCAGAAAAAATATAGCGAACGTGATTGGAGTTGATCTTAATAGTTTTCCGCGAAAAACATCAAATTTTGACCGTTTTTCGCGGGGTGCATGATTATTTTCCAAAATTCAATTTATATGTTCAGACTTCATAAAAAGCAATTAAATTTATTGTAGTTTTATTATCTTTTTAAGATCGGCTTTAGTACGAGTTCTACTCGCACTTGTCCGGTTTTTGATTTCGGATGATTCTATCAGAAGTTAGGTTGGTCACCATGAGACACATTTTTTTCGAGTACCTTTGGGAGATCGCATACTAAGGACATAAAAATTAATATTTTTATAAATGAGTAAAGGCTTTCTGAAGTGTACCAATGGTTTTTGAAGTCTGTTGTTAATGAGATAATTAAATTTTTTTTATAGCATTTTATTCTAGGTAGAATTTGAAAGTATTACAAAAAAAAATTTTAGGGACCGCATTTTATTTACAAATTACAGGTATCTTTGTTACGCGCTGTAACAAAGACATGGCGCGTGCAGCTTCGCGGGCCTTCGCACTGCTGCGTTAGATGCGTTGAATTGGTTTCAATTTGTTAGTTAGGGGTCATTTATAAAGCATTTGAAACATAATTTCGAAAATTTTAATTGAAATTAAATTCAAAATGGCGGATCCAATCCCAGGTAGAAAAATTTAATGGCACCTAGATATATGCTAGCGCTACCACTGAAATTTGCATGGCAGTTTATCTTGTCGACGTCTTCTAGCGCCTTGCATGGCGCGAGCACTTTCGGCTAGAATGCAACATAACCTCAAATTTCTGTTGCATAAAGTGTCAAAGGTGTTTGTTTTTATTTTTAAAGTAAAAGTAAATGTTTGCTTGTAGAATAATGTGGCATTTAAAAACAATAATAGTAAAGGATTCTAAGTATTTATATATTTGTAATTGTATTAAATTTAAATATAAATTAATATTGCATTATAAATTTCTTGTTCATTCGTTAATTTATACACTTATTTATAAAAGAACTAGCCACACTATCCGCGCGCAAGCGCGCGGGCATGTTGTATGGAACTGCTTATTTTAAACAATTTGAAGCCATTTTATTTTAAAATTTTTTTAAAGAAATAATTATTATTTCCTAACAAAAATATGTAACTAATTAAAGGTGGAAGAAGATAACAATTATAGAGATTTAAATTTTCATTTTGTATTATTTTGAAACTTTAAAATTACAAAAAAAAATTTAACAAATTTGAACTTCTAATTTTTTTTTTAAATTCAAATACACTAAAAAAAGTTTTACTTGAAACAGAGATAAGTTTCTCTAGAATAGCGAAAGTATTAATTGAAACACTGAAAAATTTCGCTAATAATAAAGTAAAATCTGTAGTTTATCCTGCGGTAAATATTTTTTGTCGTGCATATCGAAAAAAATTATTAAATTAACATCAGATTTTCTAAAGTCAAAATAACGAATTTAACGTAGAAATTAATCAATTTAAAACTTTACCAAATTCACTCCAGAAATCACTGAATCCGATAAATTAGAAGAAAGTCAGACAAATGGAAGCTCTATTTTATATTTCTAAAATGTAATGTAAAATTTAACGCATTAGAAACGAATTTCAAGTGAATCTCATAGATTTTGTTAAAATACTATTACTGCTGTTAAACTTTCTTGTTGTACAAAGAAAATTGAATCTCGCAAAAATTGTTCCAAATTTTATACTTTTATTTTAAAAATAATTTTGATTACGAAAATTTTAAATTATTCTAAAAATTATAAAAAATAATTATTTATTTAGCTTTTTAAACAAAGAATTCCGTATCTTTCGAAATTAACATACTGCAAAAAATTATAAATTAATTGAAAAACGATAAAGTTAAACAACTTTTAATTCTAATTTTTTTGGAAACCAAATTATCTGTCGTAAAAATACTAAGTATAATTTGCAATTATTATTTAATTACAAGATGTAATATAAATAATGAAGCATCACATTAAAGAAAAATATTCTAAATTTATTTTTAGAAACAAAGAAAAAAATTTTCAGGTAAATTTTAGGCGTATGATAGCCCCCAAATTTTAATTCTATACATTGATTGTTTAATTGAGTTTTTAACTTTATAATTATCATTTACTCGGCAGGTATGTGTCCATAATTTATTTAATTTTAACATTACTTAAATATTGAGAATAGATATTTGATGTAAATATTTGGTAGGGGGACAGCTTTCCCAATCTGCATTTCCCAATAGTTATTTTTCCCAATGGACGTTTTTCCCAATACTCGATTTTCCCAATGGTCATATTTTCTTCGTAGTAAATATATAAGATTTAATAAACTAACTTCATTGTTATGTAGTAACATGGTTGCCACAAAATGATAAATATAAAATTCTAGGCTTTTTCCAGGATTTTCCAGGTAAATACTTATGAAATTCCAGTCAAAAATTAAAAAAATTTCTGTCCCAATAACACATCTTCAGCTCTAAAATTTTTTTAAAAATTCTAAATATCAAAAACCTAATAAGAATAAAAGGCCAAAAATTTTTCTTCCTTAGAGATTTTTATATGTCAATCAGATAAAAATCGGCCACAGCCGATAATCAGCAGGAGATGAAAAATTATTTTTTAAGCGAACTTTATTTTCTGTGTACTAACAATTGTTAGTCAAAAAATTGTTTACTGTTCCTAAACAATGACTAGAACAAAATTTTCTCAAAAATCTTTAAAAACAGGCAAAATTCCAAAAAATTTTTTAAATTCTATACTACTTATTTATAATTTTTTTATTGTAATAATAATAAATCATTTAAGTATATGACCTACTTTTACCTGTATGATAATTTCTTTATCACCATATACTTTTTTTTGGAATTATGTTCATTGGGAAAAATTATTAATGGGAAAAACGTCCATTGGAAAAAAAAACCTATTGGGAAAACTGTCTAGCAACCAAATATTTTTAACTGAAAAAATTGACAATATACATTTTCATTGATTTGTTGAATTTTTTATGAATCACGTATTAATTAAAAACATAAAAAGTAAGACACGTTAAAAGTTTATAAAATAAACATATTAGACAATATTTTTATGTAATAAAAATTATAAGAAATAAAAATTGTATTAAATTACTATTTTGTAAAATATATTTTAATAATTTAAATTTATGTTGTAGTCTTTAATAATATAGTAATTATTTCAAATAATAATTATATCTGTCAAAAATTATGGAAAATAAATATTATATTTTTAACAATTACATTATTTAGAATTTTGCAAGTTAAATAATTATTAAAAGGTTAAAAAACTAAATATTCTGTAATTAAGAAATTTAAAAAAATATAATTCAATTGAATGTAAATTAATATCAAATAACTTTTTTCAATAATATGGA